TATATATATATATATATATATATATATATATATATAAACAAATTTGCCCAACTATACTTTCAATGATTTTAAATTATTTACTCAAAAGTAGAAACTTCCTAATTCTTGCAAAAATGTAAAAACAAAGAAAATAACTTGTATGAACCAAATATGAAGATATTTTTAATGGTGAACAAATAAGAGTTCACAAAATAAACTTTCTTACAGAAAACCTCTGTTCATCCTGGACTGCTTTTCTTATCCATTTAATTCGTTTGCCATCTGACAAAGCGTTCCACTGCTTCCGAGCTTTTTCTAAGGAATCTTTCTTTTCAAGCTACAAAATAAGTGTCAAAAATTTAAATACCATGTAAAAATTTATCTTTCAAACAGTTTAACTTATGGGTATATATATCAGTATACTAACTACTGTTTATCTAGACTGTCAAAATAATAGCTACAGTTTATTACTATTATCTTTTTGTAGAATAAATGCGTACATAAAATTGGTCTTTTACACACAAACATTGTCAGTTTATTGAACACTGAAAGTTTAAAAGTATGTTTATACAAGCCATTCATATGAAGTGAACACAAATGCAATGAGTTGAACACTGAATTATATTTTATCCGTAGAAGATAAGAATAAACAAATCTTACTCCTGCATATTCACTTCTTTTTGTTCGATCAGCAAGAAATAGGTTAAATGGGGTATGGGGTTTTTCTGGGCCTGTATGGCCAGAGGGGTGATGTTTTGATTCATTCAGTGGAAACTCATCTGGATGTTCTTTTCTGAAAAAAAAAAAAGTATAGAACTTAAGATTTCTACATAAAAAGTTTATTCTAGAAGCAGTAACAGTTACAAAATAAGTCCTACAATGCTCTGCCCAAGATGTTTACTTAAATTTCTTCTACAAATTATGAAACTGTATATTACACTGTAGGGGCAACTTTCTGGAAAGAAAATTTTATGCTAAGACCCAGTATACAAGTATCTCCCCGACTTTAAAAAATTCTTTATAATTTAAAAGCATATAAAGTACTGTAAAAATTAAAGTATAGTGATGTGTCTAATACAGTGGAACCCTGATTTAACGTGAATTCGGATATAATGCGATGGGTCATTAGACCCCAAAGATCTTCTTTTGCTTGACAACTGTCCCGTTCATCCGCCTGCTACTGACCTAGTAAGCCGTGACGGAAAGATTCGAGTTTCCTACCTCCACAAGAACACTACATCCGAGATCCACCCCCTAGATCAAAGGAACATCTCCATGTTCAAGCAGAATTACAGGCGGGAATTAATTCGTAGAATTGTAGACGATTCAACAACGCTTGAAGCCTATCTGAAAAGCCTGAACATGAAGGAAGTTTGGTGGGAAGGCCTGGGAAGCAGTCAGCTCATCATGTGTAGAGAAATGCTGGGAGAAGGGTCTGGGGCTAGCCTTTTCATCACGGCAATCCACCACGGAAGATGATGATGACGAGATAGATTTGTACGGCTTCAAAGAGGAAGATGTGCGTGAAACAAAGAAGCTGTCTGAATGGAGCAAAGAAGAGCTACACCAGTGGCACTCTGTTGATGACGAATGCCGAGATCGTCAGTAACATAACTATGGCACCAGTGGAGGCAAGTGTACCAGTTCTCGTGCCACAAGAAAAGGATAATGAAAAGCCTCCATCACCACCACCAAATGTGTCTGAAGCCATTGAACACCTCAAGGCTAGCCTCCATTGGCTGGAGACTCAGGAGGTGGACCACATAAAAATCCTCTAACTCAGAAGCATTCTAGATTTTGCTCGCAGCCAGACATACTACATTCAAGAAAGGAACACTCGATCAGTTTTTTATGAAATAAACTGCAAATTATGATTGCCAATATTCTTGAATGTTTTTATTTGTTGTTTTGTTTATCAAAAAGCCTACTAAAAAATAATTTGTACTTTAATTTCTACTGTAACAACAACGATTCATTCAAAAAATTCTTTAATTCAGAGGTAATTTATTTGCCAGAAAGGGAACGTGTAAAAAACTTGTCAAAGAGGGCCAAAATAGAGGTGTTTTAGAATGTTAAGTCAACATTGGGTCAGTTTGAACAGAGATTTTCTTGAACCCCGATTTAGCGTGACCACGCTTGTTTCTTGATGACATTTTATGGACCTTATAACTTTGTAGAAATAAGTTGTGCCTGTATGCAGTAGCTGTTTTATATTATCTGCAGCACACACTAGGTGAAACTCAATTGTTCCAAAATTAATAATGGCACAAAATATAATGCTTGCCAATAATCAAACTCTCTCACTATGGACTCAGTCCCATGGACCAACCTAATAACCATTTTGTGTTTGTTATAGTTTTCATACTTTAACTTTTAATACAGTAAGCATATCTTCATGCAATTTTGCAGATTATCAGTAAACATTACGAGGCTTCAAACACAAAATATCAGACTTTTTGTTAAATTTTAAGATTTTTTAATCAGTGATTTGCTCGTACATTTTCTCTTTTCAAATGTTGACTATCTAATATACAACGTAATTTTGATTTTAAGATTAAAAATACTTTTATGCATCAGAAAATTGTCATATTTCACATGCACATTCTCTATAACCACCAGATAACTGTCAAACGTTTTTTTAAGAAAAATTTTACTTTTATCTGTTATTTTCACTATTGTATTTCTCTATAGGCTTTATCTATTTGACCGATTTTGTAACTACCATAAGAAATTAGGAAACAGATATAAATTTCACTTTTTACATTCTAAAATGATTACAAATTATAACAAAATACCACAAATGTTTAGTCTAAATAACTTAAATCTGAAACATTATTCGACTATATATAATTACTATTTAGTGCAAGTTCATAAATTTCAGTTATTTTTCTTAAAACAGAGAACAGTAAGTAAAGAAATATAGAAAACAATGATCTCTTCTACTTACAAAGTTTGTACTCGTTTACCATAATTTACCAAGCCCTGTCAAATTTTACATGTGGAGGATGCAAACAATTTTTTCTAGGTTTGTTTATATGCATTTTCAAATAACAAAATATTTTAAATTACAATATCAATACCATAGAATTCCACTATAATTAATCAGGTTTAGTAACTAAGCTGTAATTGGGTCTAAAAAATTATGATATTTCAAACTCCATTATCTCATACCTATCTGCTTTAATCTACTATGAAATGAAAGTTTTCCATGTAAACACTTTGAAAAGAATGAGGAAACAACTTTGAGACATTCTGGGCTTTCAATTGGTTATAAACACATCATAGAGTGATAGGTGTACATAAGCAAGTATTTCCAAATATGGAAGAGGTGGATGGGGCCACTGTGTTTGGTTTTCTCAATAGTGATATTTCAGCAAATAGAAACAACAGATTTTATTTTATATTTTAGCTTGACAATATCAGAAATTTGAGTTTCTAATTATAAACTTGGTATTTGGACATCACAAACATCAAATTTTAACCAAAGCTGTATTTCAAATACCATGTGACACAAAAATTGATATTTAGGGATTTTTTAAATATTTACTTTTAAAATAAGAAATTAACTAATATATAATACTAAAATTTGATACCAAACTTATTGACATATATTCCTAAAATAGTAGTTCAATAAAATTTTGAATGTAACTACAAACGTGATGATATGCACTTTGACCCCCGACAATAGCAAAACCCATAGCAATAGGGTTAAGCTGCAAGACAGATGCTGTGGTTTAGTATCTTCAACAAAAACAACAACAAAAATAAAGTGAAACAAAATATTTTTTTCTCTGAAATAGAATATTTAAACATAATATTTAGTAACTCTACATAAGTTTTTACAAAACTAAACTTACTTGAATTTTTCAAGATCCTGTTTATAAACTTCATTTTCTCGTTCATAACTTTCTTTGTATTTTAACTGGAAAAAAAAAAAATTTCCAGTTCAACTATAATTCAAAATAGCACCAAAGCAGAAATTATATCAATACAATTATACTAACCTTCAAAAGTTGATTAAAAAAATGATATATTAAAGCAGATAATTATTTAAAATTACTCTTACTTTTTTCTTCTCTGGCAGTTGTTGAAACTTTTTGGACAACAACTTTGCAAGGTCTGTCATAGACATTTCTGGATGTTCATGGCTGTACTTCTCCCGTTTCTCCAAAAAGTATCGGAAGTATGGAGTCAGTGGCTTTTTTGGCATTTCAGGATGTTTCTGGAAGATAAAAACACTTGAAAACTAATGAACTAATAAAAACACACAGAAACCTATGACAGAAAATCAGGACAAGAAAGGGAAGAATGTCAATGAATATTGAAGAAAGGTGTATGTGTGGAGAAAGAGAGGGGCCAAGTTATCTGTCATGAGAAATGAGCTATTAAAGAAATAGTATAAATCCTAACCACAAGCAAAGAGAAAAAAGATAAATCCAAGAATAGTGGGTCATAAACTAATAAACAAAAAGTAACACAGGCAAAAGAGAAGAAAAGTGAAATCCAGTAAGAGGTGGAAAGGTTAAGGTGGTTTAATGAATGGTAGAATACTACCAAAGCAAAGCAGGTAAAGGACATACTCTAACAGATCATTTTTGAATGGAGAGAAATAAATTCAATAATGCACAACACATTGAGCAATGGTTGCTATGACCCTGACAGTTAACGGGCCTTCAAAAGCCACAGCAAAAATAAAACCAAAATGTGAACAACATTCAGCACTCAGGGGTAGGGACTAAGTAGAAAACACTGTCATTCAAGAATTAATCAGAAATATTAAAAGTTTTTGAAACAAAAGAAAATGAAAATCAAAGTTTTGTTATCAAAGCAAATCTCATTAAATTGAACACAAACATGAAATTTAAACACTTTGGTCACTACAGTGCCCAGGAGAAGAACAAAAAATCATGAGTGCAAACTCATAAGGGGAGTTAGTGTGAATGGAGGTCTGTCACCCTCCTATTGGTGGAGGGCTTTTGCTGCATGATGTATCAACATGGAGTGGTGCAACTCTCTAGCAAAACACATGGAAGAGCTTAACACAGATAAATAAACTGTTTTATTTTGAGTTTACTTGCTGATTATACGTATTAATTTATTAAAAGTTAAAGCTTTTACAGTAAGGAAGAATATATTTAAAACAGTTATAATGTTTTGATCACTGGTGCGATCATTCTCAATCCACAAGTTTTAACAGTGAAGAAGGTTTTAGTACTTAGATTGTTGAATGTTGATTTAACTACTAAAATTTTAGTATTTGAGAATGATTGCACAAGTAATCGAAATATTGTACCCATTTTAAAAATATTCTTCTTTACTGCAAAAGCTGTAACTTGTAATAAATTAATAGTTAATCTGTGTGAGGAGGTGAATATTCATTTCAGAATATTGAATATCAAATATATATATATATATTTTTTCAAAGCAATTATTAATTCTATATACAAACTAAAATACACATTACAATTTTTTTAGATTAATTTTAAATTATAGGTTACCACAATGATAAGTGTAAACATGCTCCTCTTCCAGATATGAAGAAAATTATGCCCAATGATGTTTTAACTGCTTTCTTTCTCTTGCTAATAAAAGTTACTAGTTTTTGAATGCAAAATCAAGAGATGCTTTATCTTTTGGCACCAGATATATTTTCAACAAAATATCCCAATTCCTTGAATGCAGAAAATTATGGCCACTAAGGATGCCTTGCCTACTCTTTGGCATGAGGAACCACTTCAATACAATTTAACTATTTTTGGGATATGAGAAATTATTACCACAATGTCTTCTTCACTCTTTAGTATAAAGTAACATATCAATGAGACTTACCTGTTTCTTGGATGTAGAAAATGATGACCATGGATGTTTTACCCACTCTTTTGCATCAGTAACCATGTCAGTAAGTGTTCTATAGCGACGCAACTGTAAAGACAACACATATCACATGTCAGAGTTTAAAGCAATAAAAATATATGATGCAACTCAGAAATATTACATAGCAATATTTCAGAAAACATTAATTTCATGTGTACTTCAAACAGATTTCTTTTTATTAGTATACATATCAATTTTTTAGTCTCAGCAAAATATACTCTCTTGGATTATTATACCCATAATTACAAAAGTGCAAATAGATACTCTGTGATTAGTTAATGACAATAATATTAGTAGATATGGTTAGGTGTAAGTCAAAAACATGGGCACATGATTTTGTATATGAAAATCAGCAACTTGCATGACAACCACAGCTGAAATGAAGTCACAGTGGAACAGTATGTATCACAAATATATTTGACATTGTTCAACATTTATAAAGTATAAACTATATATATACTACTGAAAATTAATTGCTTCTGAGAAGTGTATAACCCTTTCCAACACAAAAATTCAGCCAAGCAGATCATAAAAATACATTCAGATTGGGGATCTTGAATTTTCAAGATAGGAATATCTATTGTATTCAATGGGATTGGAGAAATATGGATCAACTTGGGACACCTGGACCATTGAGAAAGAAACCTGTAACAAACTGTATCTCAGCATGGTAAGTAATGTGAAGTGTCTTGTAACAGGTGAGAATCCACAGACATATAATTCAACAGCAAAAGTTATCCAAATCCCAGACAACAGTATGCAACATATTCAAGAAGGATCTCCGTCTTAAAACAAGGCCAACAGAATATGCATTTACAAAGATAAGGCTTCAAGTCATACCTCCTGTTCAACCATTGCATAGTTCAAGCAGCCAGAGAATGAAATGGGTACTCCAATAACATACCAGCAAAGTTTCTCAGCTGTTGAAATGGGTGCTGGGAAACCAGTGTCTTCATAAACTAAATAGATTATTGAAAAGATGTATGAAGGAGTGGTGTGTTTTGGACGTGAAAGCCTTATCAATGAGCCTTTTGCAATGGAAGCTATACTGTATGCTAAAATGTACAGTCATCAGATAGAGCATGACCAGACATGACAAAATGGACTGTAATGATGTAGCGAGGCTCCAAATTTATTTAAATTTATCATATTCAACACCAGCACATATGTGCCTCAATACACAATTTTTTTAACCTATATGATTTTGAACTTAACAATAAGAAAAGTTTTACTTTTACAAGACATGTAGAATAACTGAGCCAAGAGATAGAAACAATTTGTGGCGTATATCTTAGCACCTGTATCATCCAGTATGAATTTAAGGAAATACTCTCTATGAAATAAAGTTAATCAGTTTCTCACCCTTGTCATGATCTGCATCCATTTTTCCTTACACTGTACACCTGTGTAGGAGCCAAAGCACACCTTATCCCAATCCAGCTTCTCAACCAGTGTGTTATATCTGACATTATCAGTTTTTGGCAGGCAGTTTGTCAAGTTGTTAATCAACTGGCTAAGATCCTCAGATGTCCAATCAAAAACAAGTGCTGGGAAATAATCACATTATTTACAAAACTGTATATCATGCCAAAACCTTTAATAATAATTTGACTCAATTTACTATTCAACACAACAGATGCAAACACAATTCCTTCAGTTACACATTTTAAAGTTACTTTCCACCTAACTATTTGTTTATTTATATTTATATTACCTTCAAATTGTTATAATTAAACTCATATTAGCATACAATAACCCCAATCACTTGTTATCCCCAATAAATGATACAGTATAACAAGAAAATTTATTTATTCATTTTACCCCTAAAACTTCTCTTGCTGGATTTCTTACTCCTTCTTATTTCTACAAAGTATTTAAGTGCATCTGATGCTTCTATGTAAGGACTTATACAGAGTCAAGGTTTACTCCTACTTTAAACTCTGGAAATTATCTTCTTTGCTTCTTCAGTACGACTTGTATCCTACGTTTTTCATCAAAACTTTACTTTTATGCTTTTATTGTATGTGAATTGTCATATTAAGTTTAACTTTATAAAACAACACACAACATTAATTAAGTAAAATCAAGTTTTGTTTTACTATAAATTTAAAAGATAGAAAACCAACCCAAGACATTTAAGCTGCATAAAAATTAACCAAGCAATTAAAAATATTATTTAATTGCAAGCACAAGGTATTTGTGCTATGGTAAAACAAAATGACCCTTGTTCATTCTTCTGAAATTTGAAAAACTTACAAGCACAAAAAGTGAATGTCAATAATGCTATCCAAATAATTTGAGAGGAATTTTTCAACTGGACAAAAACAATGCTAATTTATTTATCATTTTCAACTGTAATTATTGAAGTACAAAGAATATAATAAAATACCATAGGACATCTTTGTAATAAGTAGTTATATTTAATCTAACTTAATTTTAATAATAACATACTATTCCGACTGCTCTGATTCTCTTTGTTTGCTTGAGTACTTTCCTCTTCATTGGTTGTCCCCGTTTCTTTTTTCTTGCTATGTTTTGGAGTCGCTGTTGCTGAGAAAAAAGTATTAGAAGGAAACTTTACATCATGCTATACATCTTATTCAACTGAGCGGAAGTAAAAAATAAAATACTATTTTATGCACGATTTGTATTATAAACAAAAAACCTAATTAAATTAAAAGTGTATATTCAAAGCAAGTAATATTATAAATATATTTGAAATAAACTCAAGTCTTATATCATAAACAACAATTCGAAAAAATAAGCATTTCCTTTTCCACTTGTAAAAGTGTTACACGTTGATCATTTTTATTTTTGTAATTAAACAAAAGTATTATATACACACACACACAAAATACTTTCTTACTGATGTAAGATATTCGATCCTTATACACGTCACTTATCCACATTTACTCAAGTCCGCACAAATCCCAGTTACTAGTTTTCTGACAAAACATCGGTGGCATTTTGCCATTTAAAATAAATATCTTAGTAAAGTTAACCTTGCATTCACGTGCATCGCAGCCTTCGTGTTGCCGACATAATCTAAAACGTTTATCAAATTACACCATTCGCTCGTGACATGCATAAACAATCCCATGGTAGCAGTATTGTCCTTGTTTTGGTGTAACGCTAAGGCACTATCAAATACCAAAAATTAATGTTTAGCATTACAGTTGTTTAACGGTTTTTTCACTCTCTCTCTTTTTTGTGAAACAATCCCACTAGTTTTTTTTTACGAACTATACAGTGTCCAAATTTAACCCATACAGTTTCACAAAATATATACAGAAAGAGAATGCCCATGTGTACTTATTACTGCACTGCGTGTTAATACAAGTTCTACCAACTGGTCTGTAAAGCAAGTCGTCTGAGTAATCTATAGCGGTGGAGACGTGTGATGTGATGAGGAAACGACGGTCCTGTAGGGCTACTCAACCGTAGAAAATACGGTCCTATTTTGAAGACTTCTCAAAATATACTTAGTTCGTTCATATATTTTACAATTAATTAAAACGTTCGCAGCCATATACTATCAATTCAAAGGCAATTACCAAAAAACAAGGAACTGTCAATCAAGACGTAAGGCTATAACAATATACTGGTGGGTGCAAAATATTAAAAATAAAAGAGCGTATTCTCATCGCCAAATTTCTCGATATTATAAATGTAATAATTTCATTAAGAATATTTTTACGTTTCAGAAATGTCACGTCGAAATAAATCTAAGGTACTAAAAAATGTTCCGCAAGTTAAAAATAATTAACAAGAGAAATTTCATTCCATTCCCAATTTTTAACTCTTCAAAATATTTTGAAGATAATTAATTGAAATTATTGAATAATAAAAAAAAACTGCATTATCGCCACAACGTGTCCTAATTTGCTGATCTGACGAGATTTTTTAATAACTTGATATCATGGCCACTTTTTGGCTTGATAATAAAGGTTAAAAAAAAACTTTCTGAAAAATAGAATCAATGACAAACTTATTAGGTGAAATATCTAAGAGAAACTCAGATATAAATTCTTAGTTAAATACATTAACTCCTGTTTCACTTTTACCCTAAAATAACTTGCAGAAAATCATTTTCGTTGTAAGGATCAACTACAATAATAGGCTTTGTGTAAAAATAAAACTCGTGACATCTCGAAGTATCGAAAACTATTTTAAATAAACGTTGTAGAAAATTAAAATGCATCTTTTATAAATATTGCAAAATATCAAGGACTACACCACTACTATTAAGTGTTATTCTTTTAATTTTCAGAAAATTACAAGGACAGTCACTCTGAATCATCCACAACACAAAAGTTCGTTGACTAGTTATCAGTTATATTATAAGATATTAAACACTAGCAGAAAAAACCGCCCTCCAGGAAGGTAAAGCTGTTAGTTCCTGCGGAAGGCTCTTGGGCCTTCGGCCTTTTCTGGAATTGTCTGACAGTTCTACAACAATGTACTAATACTTGACATTCAATAATGTTCACCATCCACGAGAAAAGAAATTTTATTGAAATTTTAGTTTACAAATGAGCTAGCATTACAGCACAGAGTAGATTTTATTGAAATATTTCTTCGTAGACGCAGTTATCAATGAAAGTACCTTGCTTTTCTATTGCAACACTCATGTGATTTTCACTAAAGAATATTTTTTTTTAAGTTTGTTTTTTTATTGTTTTATATTTGAAACTTACTCCTTTATGTTTGTAATTTTTATTGGTTAAATCTGAAACATATAATTTTTGTGGAAATTTCAAATGTTTTATTTATTGCTCAGCTACAAAAATACTGCCTAGTTATGATTGTTGATGATCGGTGCAGTAGTTTCCTAGATCCGAGTTTTGGACGTATACACAGCAGGCTCCATTATAATAAGATTCCTACTTCAGCCTCAGTAAAACTAAAATGATATAATCTTTCAAAACGCTTGGGTTTATCAGTTATTCCTCTAAATGCGAAGTTGCGTTGACCAAAAACACACAAACCCTTTAAGGGTAGACGTTAGTTTACAGTAACTATTCATCTTAATAATGATTAATAATTACAACTAACAAACTGGAAAATTTAGCTTTAACTTATACTGGAAAGCTATCGAACTTTCTGTGCAACCCATAGTTTTCATGGCAAAAAGTTTGATAAAAGAAAAAAAATTAAGATAAATATGGGGAAAGTTATAATGATTAATCGGTTAAATAACGCTCAGGACAATTGGCAGATATTTTTAACTAACAGTACCTGCTAGTCAAATGCACCTACCTTGATACTGTTTAATCACACACACTCCATGAACATAATTATGTAAAAATAACAAGAAAATATTAACATTCGCCTGTATACTAATAACCATTCCTTTGTTAAATAAAACAAATTATGTTGGCTTATCACGTGCCTACAACTGCTTCTTTGGAAATCTTGTTGACAAACGTCGAAATAATAATGAAAAAAATATATATAAATTGTTAGTATAGGGGACACGAAAACAACAATTATCATTCCTAATGTACATGATACTCTGGCTTGATCTACAGAAGCTTTGCTCTGTCAAACCATTACTTTAACAGACAGATGGGCTCTCAGCGAGTGCTTCGGTGGCTGATTGTCAGCCATAACGCCTAACGCCCACCCCGTGACTTGCAGTTATCACATCGCTGCAGAACTGTATTAGTGTATTGGTAAAGCGACATGCACGCGGTAACATGCAAGTTCTACAGTCTCACGGGTCAGCTTGTTGACGTGTCACTCAACGAAAGCACAGGGGCAAAACCACTGGCTGATTAAATATTCCAAGCGACTTTGAATTTCTCTTGGAAACTTTTCTCAAAATTATGCCCAAATTCAAAATGATCCTAACAAAAGTCATTATAACGTGTACCCAGTAAGGCATACATATACATCACGATATAACTTATAAGTATATTATGTAGTGGGTATAGTGTGTTGTTATAAACGACCTAAATGCAACAAGTCACACGTTTTGTATATACAAGAAAAAGTCTACCTCACTTTAGTTTATTGAACATTCCATTCGTGAATCAAAGTTTAACATTAATATCTTTACACAATAACTTGTGAACTTATGCTTTTCAACGACACAATTAAGACAATACCCAAAAAAACTTTGTAACAAAGTACATTTTCTACGCCAAAATTAACCCTATACATCTGCTTTGTTCAGAAAAAACAAAAATCGGGGAAGTGTGCTTCTTCCTGAAAACAACTTTGGAAACCAAGTCCAGGACTTGTTTTCACACACAAACTGTATTTAAGTTGATAACTTGTGAAATGGTTTGCCAGATAATGTGGGAATTAAGATAATATGGGTGTGGAATGGCTAACTTTTACTTCTTTCTACGCTTAAACACTTGACTGTCTTCTTACATCGACACCGACCTCTTTCCTTTCAAGTGTCTTGCAAGTTGTACCCCTAATAACTTGGCCGCAAGCAACAACAGTGTATTTTCCGTGAGTGTACACCGTGAGGTGGGGACAGCTCTTCTCTTAACGAGATGGCGGCATCTGCGGTAACCGGTTCTTTCAGTCCGAACATCGATTGGCAATCTAGACGGCCACGCGATCATATAAGCTACAAATGTAGAGGATAACCCGGGCCCCCCACGTCAGACCAAACCCAGGGACGCAGCCACGCGGCGCAGCTGGCACGTTCCCCGGCAGTCGCTGACGCAGTCAAGCCTCAGCTGCTGCCAATGGCGCGGGAGACTTCCTAGCTGTACAGCCAGCCAATGCCGCCGCCGATAACGACCAACTCCACACGGTAAAGACCTCCCTTATACTAAATGTTCTTTGTGTCGGCCATTATGGCTTTAACTGATAGATATTAATAATTTAAAGTTAAGATAGATTACTCACGTTCTGCAATTTCCTTCTTAACTTTTACTGAAGTTGTGTCTTCTTCAGGCTTCAATTTTTTTGGATTTGATGCTTCCGTTTTCATCTCGGTAATGGGGCCGTTAGTAGATTCTGTCGGCGGTCGCTTCCCTCCCTTCCTTCGCGAGGAGCCCGTTTGTGGGCTCGTCGCTACTGACGCCATTTTTCCGTGAGTGACTTAGCAGCTAAATACAGCTTAAAATTCTTATAATAAGTTTTTCTTTTCTTAAGAACAATTACTTTTACCAATATTCACCAACCTGACCACGTGATGTGGTAAAATAAATATACTATAGCTTGTTTCCTCAAATTAACTTTCCTCCAACGGTACGACGTGCAGTATCACGAACTAGTCTTGGAATGGCCACACAAACCACTAGTGCGCATGCGTGTTTAGGGTCAACCATTCAAAAAACGTAGTTGATTAGTGTGGTCCAAATCGCGAAAACGTGCGGAATAAACTAAATTCTATGAGATTATTCATTACGTAGAAAGTTAACTAATGTGATAAAACCAAAGTTATGTTATATATTTTCTTCCTTTATTTATTTATGAGACTAAACAGGTTTCTTCTGCTCCTCCTGAAAACAATACCTATTTTAATTGTACAGAATTTTTAAAAAATAAAATTTACACATTTTCAAGGAAAAATTCACAGAATTTGGAAGTTCTACCAATCACAAAAATATTTAATTTTTAGATGGAATTTCTGCTAGGATACCGTTAGCAAAAATATAAAAATCGCAGTGTGCTTCGGAAGGCATAATAACACTGCACTCTGTGACTTTATATTGGGAACAAACTCGTTTATAGAAATACCACACCTGGTTACTTCAAAATTGACTTAGGGGTTAAAAAACAAATGAGTACAACCATTTTTAGGTCCCACTAATAAAACTTCACAGTAGATGAACAGCAGAAAATAAGCTATGTTTAATTTACATTTTTCCAAGTTCAATACAATTTCTTTGATATATTAAAATATTTTTAAAAGTCTCACACAGATACAATGATAGCGCACTCATGGCCGTGAATTTTGAATCTAATGTCCGAGCATGATAACCAATAGCCAATGCCTGGTTATTCCGTTTATGAAATTACCCGAATTACAAGATAGATGACTGATTTGACTGACTCGTAGGTGCGTCTTAAACCCGAACACACACAAAAGTAACAATCCAGTGTTTCCGGTAAAATAACGGTATTAGACAGCTAGTTCAGTTCTTTGGTTATAATTTATATTAACTTACATAACTAAACAATTTTGTATTAACTATTAATCACATTTTAAAAAGTTAAACTCTTTAGAGCATGGTGATGACATAATTACATTAAAGATTTTGTCATATGCCTGAAAAAAAAAAAAGACCCCGAATCATTTTTTCATAGTTGAAATTTGAACTTAGGAGATGCTGGTTCATCTTGTAGAAGGCCTAAAATATTTTTTGGTTTACTTCAAAGGCAGATGGCATGTATTCAAATAAGTTAAATATTATCCTAAAACCATTTTCAGAAACTAGGTGGGAGTGTAGCATAGATACTGTGAACGATGTTCAATTTCAACTTAGAGATCTGTGATACTTTTACTGGAACTATCGGTAAATTGTATGGGTAATCCCAAACTTTGTAATGAGTGCAACTCTCTCATTAAAAGATTATGCCATATGATTTTTGTACATACTATCAGTATGTAATGATAGAGTAATAACATAAATTTTGACAACAAGTAAAGCACATAAAAATTTTTAAAATGGACTGGTGAACATAAATTAACAGGCTGAGTCAGCACTTTCAACTCTCTGGCAGAAAGTTTAGATATTCCATAACGAATTCAAAAACGCGCGAAAGCGAGTAAAGAAAAAAACTTTAATTATGTGAGAGCGAATGATTCTAAAGAACCATTCAAGATTCATTACTTTAACGTTATTGTTGATACAACTTGTGTAAGTACTGAAACCCGATTTGAGACTCTTAAAAATGTTTTGAAAATTTTGGATTTTTATGATATATCGAAACTTAGCACTATTACAGAAGATCTTCTGTAGCACTCCAAAGATCTTACGATTAAACATAAGCTTCGAGGGTACATGTAACATCAATGAATTATATATACACGAAGAACTTAAAGTGCATTGCAGGATTATACCATCTAATATCAATATAAACTGTGCTTTGAAATTTATCACAGAAAATGACTTAGTTGAGGTCTGACCAAATGCATATGTAGAACTTGGCTTTGTCCTTACTATTCCTGTTACTTCGGCAGAAAAGTTTTTCTCCTCTATAGCTTATCAAAACTAACCTCCATTCTACCATGTCTCATAAAAGATTTGAATTGCTGGCAATGTTATCTGTACAAAATGGTGTATCAAATTTTCTGATATGATCAAATACTTTAGTGCGCACAAGAGTTGAAAAGCAGTGTTATAAAATAAAAAATGTGAGTAGTGTAAATTGTTTGTTTTGAATTTCGCGCAAAGCTACACGAAGGCTATCTGCGCTTGCCGTCCCTAATTTAGCAGTGTAAGACTAGAGGGAAGGCAGCTAGTCATCATCACCCACTGCCAACTCTTGGGCCACTCTTTTACCAACGAATAGTGGGATTGACCGTCACATTATAACGCCCCCACGGCTGAAATGGCAAGCATGTTTGGTGGGACGGAGATTCGAAACCGCAGATTGCGAGTCGAGTGCCCTAACCACCTGGCCGAGTAGTGTAAATACATTTTATGAGATTTGGATTAAGATGTTGTATACATTTCATTTATTGACATATGCAATGATATATTTTTCATTCCATATCTACTTTTTAATTATTTTGTGCCAATATACGAGTTCCATAATTTTTGAAAATAAATAAGCTGTATATAGAATGCTTAAAAATAAATATTTAGGAATTAGATTGGTTGTCAGTTTTCCTTCAAATGCTATTCACATACAGCTACAATCAGTATGGCAAAATTAGTGCCTAGGCCAACTTTTATGGCCAAAATCGCCTATGTGCCTTGTACGCCACATTAGCCTAGGCCCCTGCAAAATGTAGATTCGGTCATGCCTGAATGGTTAATAGGTTTTCTGTGATATTTTTCACCGTGCTGAAAGTGTGAAAAATTTAAATATTTATAATTTTTCAAAGTAGTGAGGAAGTAATTTATAGAAATTTGTTTTGTTTGGGGGCAAACTAAACAATGAACTATCATTCAACGCTGAAGTCCTCAAGCTTGCTGCTGAGCCAACTCAGGGGTGGGTGAATAGATATCTCCTAGAATAAGCCTCTACATATACTTCAAGTGCATACGTTTTTATTTAGAAATAAGCTTTAAACTGCAAGTAAGTTTTTTAAGTGTTCTCTCCCCATAAGCATGATCACCAAGTTTATGCCTATTTACCGAAAAATTTGTAAGACCTTTATCGTTTCCTAACTGATAAAACTATATGTTAGACCTATTACAAGAATTTGTAATTTGGGATAAGCAGATTACAAAGAAAATGAAAGTTAACAAATATCATTCATAGAACTTTGTTATTTAATGAATAATGCTAAATGTAAGTCATATATATATATAAAATTATTATTCAACCTGTATAATTGATAAATGTTACCAATATATTACAGTTCGAGTAAGCACCATGGGCTGTATGATATGTACAGTAATGTTATCACGTGGAAAAGAATTTCAAGACGCTTTAAAACAAAACTGTCCTCAATGTTAGGAAATATTTACTACACAGTATTGCTAAGCACGAAAGTACTGTAACAGCAAAATGTAGTATGAGTTATCATAATTTTAAGAGAAATGGGGAGCCATTTAGTCAAAGACAAGCAAGATATTTTGTCATTCTTACTGTTTTAGTAATATTTGTTGATAAAAGATGAGTTTCACATATTACTAATATTCCATCAATTCAGTGGCATAACTGAAAAAGATGCCCCCCCCCCCCACAAAATTGGACACCTACATTTATTCTCCTTGTCAGCAATTCTCAAGTTTTTCAGGCCCTTTGAGACCCTCCACAATTGCAGGGGCATAATTATGCCACTGTATCAATGTGATAGTTACTGTGTTTTCTCTATCATCTGAATATACAAAGGAGTGTCGTAGCAATCCCTATGTAGGGATGGGTCAGAGTAAAAATGGCAGCCTGTACATTGCATACGGTAGCACGTCCCCTAGAACATTGACAAAAGGATAGAGACGAAATGCCCTTCACTAATCAAGTACAAAACTGCTTGTGAAGTTCAGCTAACCTGCCTCGATATCTAAAAACAGGCAATAAAGACATTGATTTTCTTATACTTTCTTCTTCTCCCTCAGCTGTAACTCATAAATCACAGTGTGCCTATGATGCCTGCATACCAAAACACTTCACTACTCCTTAAGATATGCCTTATCATACCTAGAGCAGCAACTGGCCCATGATAGGTTAGTTATTGCTCAAAGTACTAATCACAGTCTCTGATCGTTAAGCCATTATGTGTGTTATACAGAAGTAGATAATCTACCATATATTCCTTAATGTGCTGTGCAGTATCCTTGTCATGACTTATCTTGCTTCAAGAAGTAAAGTCTATAATTATATTATGGCTTTCTGTAGATTAGAACTGAATAAGTTGGTGAAATGGTACCTTCCACCTAGAAGTTACAGCCTAATTGTAAGTAAAGATTTTGACTTGTAAAAAGTGCAAAAACTAGAACCCAAAAAATTTATACTAAAATTGTTGGGATGTAGGGATAGAAAAAGATAAAAAGACTATAGAGCACTTATGATGGGAGGAAAATTTGCATTATCCATTCCTGCATTTCACCATTTAACATATATATATGCATTCACCCTGTGAGTGCAGTGTATAAGTGGTGGAATGCAGGAATGGGTAATGCAGATTTCCCTCTCATCCCAAATGTTCTCTAGTTTCTGATCTTTTTTATTTTTAAGAATAAATATGTTTTTCTTACTAATATACATTTAAGAAGATAGTGGGCTTAAGGGCTATCTTATCTGCTCTTAACTTGCATGTTTTAAATATAATATTCTACTTGTTTGGAAACTTCTATGGACTACAACTGCTTAAGAGTTACAGAGGTGATAGTATTTTAATTTTTTTTGCTGAGACTTTATTATAAACTTAATTATGAAGTAACCATATTACTGAATAATAACTTGGTTATTACAATAAACTAAAACACAAAATTTCATGGTTTTATACATTATATTATAGTTAAGCTTAATTTTATTATTTACATCCATGTATGCAATAAACTACTGAATGTGCTTTACTTTTGAGCTCAACTCATAGAAAATTTGATATGTTTATGATTACTTCTTTGATTCAGTCATGTACAGTAATGTCCATGATCATATACATTGCAAAATTTGCATATCAATT